ACCCCAAAGCCAGTATTATATAAAATGCTGAAAGGCGTCCTTTAAGAAGAGGAACAATTATAAACTTATGAACAAAAATAGATACAGAGGCAGAGCAGCCTCGAACAGACTGTCAAACTACAGGGAGAAGTCCGGGGAGGGTTGGGGGGCTATAGGGGAGGGTAAGAGATCAACCGAAGGACTTGTATGCATGCATATAAGCATAACCAATGGACATAAGACACTGGGGGGTAGGGGAGGCAAGGGTATTGTCAAGGGCAGGAAAAAAAGGAGACATATGTAATACTCTTTGTAAGACTTTAAGCAAGAATATATATATACCTGTAAACCTTACATTGCTTATTATTGTTACTGCTATTAAATTTTATCTTACTCTCATCTTAATGTTCAGAATGGCTAGTATGTTGAAATTCTAAATAAATCTGACCTATTTAAAATAAATGGTTTAGTACTAAGAAGACATACCTGCTGTCTTTGGTTTGTCTTCTATTAGAGGAATTATGGAAGCAAAATTTTCAGTTAATAATGATAGGATGAATTACTAGTATTTCTTCTGTTTTTTAGAACACTATGACAAGTTTATCATGCATAATAGATATAAAGACTTACTTTTAATTGTGATTTCATAACATAAAGTTATAATAATTTAAGAACATTTGTATTGGAAAATGTTTATGGTCATAAATACTGAATATTTATGAATTTTAATTAGTGGTCTTCTCCAGCCCTGAAAATCTATTTACTTTATAAACACTTAAGTTTTGTTCTTCCTGGGTGAACTAGTTGTTTTTTATAACATAAATGGCAGTCTTCTCTTCCAAATGCAGGACCTGTGGATTCCCTGTGAAACTGTAAGCCCACTTTCTTCCCAACAGCATCTGAATTCTTTGTAGAAGAGCTCATTGAGACACAGGGCTTTTTTCCCATTGTCCATTGTAGTCTTTGAAGGTATTGTTACTCACAGAGTAATAGTAGAAAAGATAAACATGGTATATGCCCAGCACCAACGGTCCCTTCAATATCTGAAGCATTGAAAAAAGGGCAACTCTTTCCTAATCTTCAATCATTCTTTGATTTAAAACACTGACTGAATGCTTACTATATGCAGGGCATTATTACTAGTGATAGATGATGAGCTTAGATGAAAGTTGATGAAAACTGGCACAAAATTGAAATGTAACTTTAAATGATGTATAAATAAAGGTGTTCATGAGAAGAATAACATAACATTTGTTTCTCTTTGTTCCCCCATAGGTGATGGAGAAGGAGAGGTAGGTATCATTCTAACATTAGCCATGAATATCATGAGTACGCTGCAGTGGGCTGTAAACTCCAGCATAGATGTGGATAGTTTGGTAAGTAATTCTTATTTTTTAAATATTTTTTATGAAAATTTCAGACAAACCAACAATTGTAGGAAATAACATAAGGGACAACTAGGTACCCAACCCCCACATTAAGGCATAAAACATTACAGATAAATTGAAGGCCATTATGTGTCTCTTACTAAACCTGTAGCTCTTCTTTCCTCCATATAGATAACCACAATCGAGATCTAGTGCCACAGTGAGCATTCTCACAGTCTCCTTGTCCAGGCTCTTTCTAGGGTAGATACATGGGAGTGGTATCACTGGATCAAAGGATTAAGCCACATTCAACTTTACTAGTTGATGCTAAATTGTTCTCAAATCTGTTGTACCAGTTTATGTTCCCATCATTCGAGTATAATGATTCTCATAGATCCATCCCTAGGATATACAACACTTGATATTTTCAGCTTTTTACTTTTTGGCAATCAGATGTGAAATGATTATTAAGGAGATAGGGCAGCTTAATACATATTGATTGGCCATTTGAGTTTTTGCTTCTGTTCATGGCTTGTTCATATTGATTTCCTGTTTTTCAAATAGACTGGGCTTTTTTCTTAATTGATTTGTAGGAGCTTATGAGTTCTGGATCAGTTATCAGTTCTATACATTTCAAACATGGTCCCCCAGTCAGTGGCTGGTGTTCTAGTGTCTTTTGATGAAAAGAAGCTTTTAATTTATTAGCCTTTCCTTTTATGTTTTGTGTGTTTGGTATTGTGTTTAAGAAATTCTTACCTGTCTTGGGTTTTCAAATTTATCAGCATTGCCTTTTTTTACTATATTCTTTTCTTAGTATTAAAATTCCCAGTGTGTAGTCATAGCTCCTTTCTCATCTTTAAGTGTTTATCATTGCCTTCTATCTTTTTACTTGATCTGTATTACTACACATTTGTATCCTTGACTGGTGTATGCAAAGACCATATTTTGGTTTGGTTGTTTCTCCTGTCTTATTTCCCTAGAATGTAGAGCCTGTAGTAGGTTTATGAGCTACACAGTGTCAGGGGCACAATCCTGTTGCTGCAAAAATGAGAGATAAAGGAAGCAAGGCAGATTTCTCATTTTTATTTAAAAAAAAACACACAAATACATAATTTTCAATCAGACAGTGTAGTTTGTCTGGATAGCTTAATCATCAACTTTTCTTAGTCTATTGGAGTACTCTACTTAAAATCAGTCATCCATTACTGCATTGGTGGAGGGTCTAGAAACCCATGTTGAGAAATACTTTTATTGCAGTCCAAGTTCCTTTTCCCATTCTTGAGGCAGTTCACTTGTTCTCAAACCACACACATTCATTCAGCTGTGACATTTGTATATTCAATTCCTGCCAGAACAAATATCATTATAAAAAATCTCTAAGGAAAAAAACCCAAACCTTCTAATGTCCTTTTTTTTTTGCCTATGTATTTTTTTACATTTTTTAATTTTAATTTTTTCCTTTATTAAGATATTACAAACATGTCCATATCCCCTCATTGTCCTCCACACCCAACCCCTCATGCCCTCATCCCCCTGTGTCTGTATCCATTGGTTATGCTTATACGCATGCATACAAGTCCTTTGGTTGATCTCTCCCCCTTAACCCTACCCTCCCCTGCCTTCCCTCTGAGGTTTGAGCATCTGATCGATACTTCTCTGTCACTTCTCTTTCTTTAGATCTATTTTTGTTCATCAGTTTATGCTGTTCATTATAATCCACAAATAGTGAGATCATGTGGTATTTATCTCTGACTGACTTATTTCACTTAGCATAATCTTAATGTTTTATTTAACCAAATAATTTTTATAATTCATTAAAATGTAATTTAACCTTAAAATGATTTATAGTAGGGTTTATCTCTTTTCCTTTAACATTGTTTTTTTTTTTTTTTTAGTTAGGCCGGCTCTTTTTAGCTACTCATTCATCTCCTCACTTAGCTTTCATGCTTTTAGGGTTCAGTCTCATAAATGTACCGTATTTGCCGGCGTATAAGACGACTGGGCGTATAAGACGACCCCCTAACATTTCCACTCAAAATACAGAGTTTGTTATATACTCGCCGTATAAGACTACCCCCTCTTCCGCACACCTTCCACACACCAAATAAAAGGTAAAACAATATCAGATTTGATTTTAACTTATATTCAAATGCTTATGACATGCAGGAAAACTGTCACAAGGCTGTATGTAATCAAACATATACATAAAACAGTGCAAGTTTATTACCGGTAAACATACCGGTAATTAACTAAAGAAAACACACTCTATAGACTGGTACCGTAGATGCTTCTCAGGAACACAGGCAAGCAGCCCACAACCTAGAGGGACTGTCAATGATAGAAGAAAGAT